GCATGGGAATGACTCTCAACTAATTTTGGTACAACGTCAACATTTGTCCTTTCTTCATTAACATTTGCATATATATTTTCTTGTTTGCGGAGTCCAAGAGATGGGCATTTCGAATCACCATCGTGGGAAACTTCTGAAGTGAGTTTTGAGAAAGTATAGAAGGAATGGAATCTTGAAGAAAACTGCTTAAATAACTTAACAATTTATTAACTTTTTAATTTTTTAAACATTAACCAAACTCTAACTTAATTTTATTTGACACATTTTCAATATATAAATACTAGCATATCACCTGTGCTATGCATGAATTATATTTACAATTATTTATATGTGTGAATTGTGGTTTTTAAATATTTTTTTTTTAATTTTTTAAATGTCTTCTTTTTTTTCCTTTTTTATATTATATTAAAGTTTCTTATTTCAATAATAATTATATGCGTTGGACTTTTCAAGGAATTAAATGTCTTTTTTTTATTATTATATTACAAACCTATCACCCGTGCTATGCACGGGATAATTATAGATATTTATATTTGTTTTAATTTTTTTTAATATATAAATTATGTTTTTTAAGATTTTTTATAAAAATAATTTAACAATCTTATCACTAACCATAGTGTACAGGAGAAATTAAAAAGGCTACCGCAGTAACTATGCACAGGCTATATCTATAATTATTTGTATGAGGGGATTTTAAATGCTAGTCAGACATTTTGACCAAATCAATAAATGCAAGCATGTGGATTAAAAAAAGTTAATAAATACTGATCAGAGATTTTGACCAAATCAATAAATGCTGAGATTTTTTTTTTAAATAAAAAATTTAGAAAATTAAGATTGAGATATTGGATCTCCCACAAGACTTGGGGTTTAGAAACCCCATTTTCCTTAATATATTTACAATTATCTATATATGTGAATTGTGATTTTTAAATGTCTTCTTTTTTTTCTTTTTTATATTATATTAAAGTTTAATATTTTGATAATAATCATATGTGCTGGACTTTTTAAAAAAAATTATAATTTATCTGTGGTTTCTATTTGTTTTTAATTCTTATTATTTAGGTAAGTTATGATGCGAGTTAGATATTTAATAGACATGTGAGTTTTTTTTATTTAAAGTATGATGGTGGAAGATATTTTCAAATTAAATTTATTTAGATAAACTTTAAAGATTTTTAAAATTTAAAATTAGATATTGAGATGCAAAAGAAAAATTTTAACTGAATAAATAAAAATCAAATTTATTAATTTTATCTGTTTGTATATCTGATTTTTAGTGTTTTTTTGTGGGTATGTTATAATATAATATATAAGATATAGCTAGATATTCACAACTTTCAAAAAAATATTATCTGATTTTTTGGGTAAGAGAAAAGGAATGTAAGTTTTAATATTTTTTTTTGAAAATTTGTAAGAGAGATTAGGAGGGAGAGATTATGAAATATTTTTGTTATTAAATAAATAAATTAATCAATAGTTTTTTTTAATCTATTTTGTAAATTAAAAATCAATAATTTTGGAAAGCTGATTAATTTGTCCCATTAAGTGATTTAAAATTTTGATAGATATACATAAAAAAAAAATACATAATTATATTATTAAATCATAATTCAAATTTAGATGTTATATCTTTTTGAGATCTATAACTAAATTCTTATCTTTTTTTTTTTATTGTTGGGTGTAATCATAGTGTATGGGAGAAATTGAAAAGGGTGTTGCAATAATTATAGGAGAAGTCAAAAGGGAATGTGAGTTGGGAGAAGTCAATAAATACTAAGATTTTTTTTTTAATCAAAAAATTAGAAAATTAGGATTAGGAGATTGGAGCTCCCACAGGCCTTGGGATTAAAAACCCTATTTTGCTTAATATATAGTATAGATATTAAAGTTTAATAGTTTGATAATAATCATATGTGTTGGACTTTTCAAGAATTTTTTTTTTATGTTTGTTCTTAATACATTAAAGTGTTATTATGAGAGATAATAATCATATGTGTTGGGACTTTTCAAGGGATTCATATGTGTTGGATTTCAAAGAAATTTTTTTATGCTTGTTCTTAATGCATTAAAGTGTTGTTATGATGGTAAGACTTGAGAGTTGGGAGACGTTAATAAATGCTAAGATTTTTTTTAAATAAAAAAATCAAGAAATTTAAATTGAGAGATTGGAATTCCCATAAAACTTGGGGTTAAAAATTCTATTTTACTTAATATATAATATAAATATATTAAGTCTTAATCCAATAGTAATTGTTTACACCACTATGTCCATCATATTTAAACCGTAATCTTTGGATGTGAATCACAATACAAATTAGGTGAGGAAGGGGAATAGCTTGCATTAAATAATCTTATGGTTGATTAAATAGAAAAATATTTTAATGTAGATTATTGGCTTTGAGAGCCACATGGTCAAAGGTATCGATCCTCGTGTTCTGAAGATCATATGCTGATTATATGTGGGCATCTACTTTTTAAAAAATGAATTTATTCATAGCCTAATATTGACTCCAAAAAAATATTTTAAAAAAAATCACAATTTTAATAATGGAAAATGGGGGTGACCCCAGCATTCTTACTGGCTGTTGATTGATCCAAATTTTTTTATTTTTTTTTTTATCCTCTCCCTGCCCCCACGTGGATGTGGGGTTGGTGGGGTCTGCCCTAACTGGGGGTTTGCAGCATCGCTGTTTAATAATATTCTAAAAAATAAACATATAATATTACAATAGACGTATTGTTACAGTTTATTAAGGTGTTTATAGATGCTGGAAAAATTAAAAAAAAGTTTGCATAAAATTGTTTATCAAACTTTTACTTATAGTTTATCATTTAAAAAATCACTTCAATAAATTTTAAATAAATAATTATTAAGAAGTCAAAGAAAATAAACTTTTAACTTTCGGTTAGATATTATGATTTGTAAACATATGCAAGTACTTTTTGTCAAATGACTTAATTTATTTAAGGAAGTTGGTTAAAAATTAATTTTTTGATTTTTTTTTTAAACTTTTTTTAAAAGAATAAGTAAAAAAAAAATCGGCAGTGCTACGTAGCTCGAAACCCCTCCTCCCCTCCTCCCCCGAACCAAAAACGACGCCGTCTTTGTTTTGTTTTGTTTTGTTTTTTTTTTGTTGTTTTTTTTTTTTTTTTTTTTTTTTTTTTTTTTTTTTTTTTTTTTTTTTTTGCAGATCAGAAGCAGGAAGAAGAAGAAGGAGGGAGGGGGAGGAGGAGGAGGGACTAGAGAGGGCCCAACAAATGGGGCTGGAGGCGGAGGCCGGGGGTGGAGGCGGCAGAGGCAGGGGCTGCGAGGGGTAGGGCTGCGACGGCGGAGCTGCTGCTGTGACGATTGGAGCTACTCGACGATCTGCAGGTCGGCGGCGGCAAGGAGGGGCCCTCTCCATTCCCTCTTCTCTTTCTCTCTTTCTCTCCTCTTTCTCTCATCCCGTTCCTGAGCTGATCGAAAATGGAAGAAAAAAAAGAAAAGAAAAAAAGGCTAATGCCCAAAACGACCTCGTTTTGGGCATTAGGGGGATTCGGGGGGAGGGGAAATCCTCGAGCTACCAAACATTATTTAAAAAAAATAAAGAGGTGATGTAATTTTAAAAAGTCAAAAAATTAAAAAATTGACTTTTAACTGAGTGGAATTAATTCTAAAACTTTTCTTTTGATTTTTATGAGGTTAATTATGTAATTTTAATTGATAATTAGGTTTTAAAATATTCACGTGCCTATTGTTTTACAAAGCTTGATTCGAAGTGAATTAGGATTACTATGAGTATATAAGCTTTAAAAGTTAAAGCCTTTTGAATAAAGTGTTAAACTATGATTCCTGATGGCTCTTCATTGTGGACTTTTCAATACTAATAATTATTATTAATGTTAAATTATTGAATAGTGTTAGATCATTGATGACGTACAAATATACATATTAGTCTATGGTTTTGTTAAACATTGTTTAATGCTTGTTTGGAGTTACTTACAATCTTCTTCTATTTATTTATTTAAAAAAAAAATTGTACTGGTGTTTAATGTAGTTTTTTTCACAAAAATTTAAAAGTTATTTTCACCTCCCAAAAAGATAAAATTATATAAAAATAAGAAGTATTTTTATATTTTTTATCGAATTAATTTTTAATTTAATTAAAAAAAGACTTCCAAAATCAAACCAAACATAACTAAAAGGGACAATTAAAAAAGAAAAACTCCAAAATTTAGTCTTGTAAAAAAAATAAATCATAAAATTTAAATTTTGTTAATTTAAACCATAATATTTTGATTTATTTTGAATCTAAATCATTCGTTTATTTTTGTTAAGTAAAATCGATAAAAAAAGATTATTTTAATTATTAAATCAATATAAATATATATATAAAATATTTAAAATATCATTTTCATTGAGTTTAATGACTAAAATATTATTTTTGTATCGATTTTACTTAATGTAAATAGGTAAATAATTTAAATTGATAAAAATCAAAATTCATGATTTATTTTATTATAAAATTTAAAGATTTTTTTTAAAAAAAATTTCTCCAAATTGAAATTCCCAAAAAAAACACTAAAGCTCTGTTTGTTTTGATGTAATAAAATATTTTTCTCATAAATTAATTTTACACATAAAAATTGTTTTTGTTTTTGTTTTTCAACGTTTGATTGATATTTAAAACAAAAATATTTTATTGCATAATAAAAAAAAAATTGATTCAATAAAATATCATATATGAATTTTTAGTGAGTTAAGATATTTATTTAAAAAAATTAAATATATTAAAAAGGTGGTGACTGAAAGTCAATTTTATAAAATTTAATTTATAAAAAATTTAAAACTAAGTTATTTTTAAAAATATAATACACAGAATTAATTTTCTTAAAAAATATTTTAATTACATTTTATTCAATTAAATAACAAAAAATAAATAAAATAATTTTAATAAAAATATTTTATGTCAAAATAAAAACAAAACGACATTCGCAATTCGGTAAACGTCCCCTCTGCACCATCTCGCTCTCCCAAAACTAATCACAGCAGACCCATTTTTTCTATTTTATTTTATTTATTTATTTATTTCATTAATTTTTTTATTTTCTTAAGCTAGAACTGTGGATAGAAGTGTTTTGGATTCTCTTTGTCCCTCTCTCTCTCTCTCTCATAATCTCTAGCTGTATGTATAAATATATTATATATATATAAGTGGAGACTCGAAAGGTTCTGATGCATTGAAAGGAGACGCATAATTGAGAACTTTGATGGATTTGCGAAGAATTTGCTGGGTTTTGTGCAGTTACACAGTGGTTTTGCTCATCTTCAACAACCCTTGTTCGGTCAAAGCCGGTGACATCGTTCAAGGCGACGATTCGGCTCCGAAGAAGCCTGGTTGTGAGAACGATTTCATACTGGTACATCTAATCCTCCTTTTTTATTTTTTGTTTTTCTATACAAACCCCCCCCCCCCCTTTTTTCTCTCTGATTCTTCAACTGGGTGTTCATTGTTTTCTTCAATCGTTGTGTCAAAGCTCGTGAATCTAGTTCTGGGTTTGACTACAAAAAGAAAACAATGGTGGTACATGTAGAAAATTAGTTCTATAATTTGGGGCCTTTAAAATTAACCTAATAATTTCAGCTGCTTTACTTTGTTTTGTTTTTGTTTTTCATGCTTCAAAATTTCATTGATGTGCAATTCAAATTTGGTATTTTTCATGGAAATGTGCTGCATTTATTTGTTTTTCTTCAAATAGGGATGATGCCAGAAATTGGCTGCTTTAGTTTCCAATTAATGCCCCATTCCTTTCATATTGTTACTAATTTTAGTTTGAAGATGAATACAATATGTGCATACTTAGTAATAATAAGTGTGTGGGGGGAAAAATCTGAACACACAAAATGGTGTAGAGATCATTGAAGAGACAGGCAACGCGGCTTTTGCCAGACGGACACTCTGATACTTAAGTTAACACAATTTCCATGAATATAGTGCTAGTATATACAAATTATTGTATCAAAGATTGCATTCCTGGACTCCTTAGGGTTCATGTTTATAGGCTTATAATTGCTTAAGAAGTCTTTCCCAACACAACTTCTAGTTGTTTGGGACTTCCATACTGACAAGGTCTTCATGTTTTGATGAGTGTGATTCATTATAAGATGTTGACACTTAATCTTTGGCTTGGGTTTGACCACCGTCTTGCGCATGAAACCCTACATGTCTGTGCTGGGACCTCCATGATTTCATGCTAATTTTTACCTCTTACAAATGCCCCCCCAGTCCTACTTTCTCCTAGTGCATTGAGAAGGGGGTGGGAGATATCTTTTGTTCTGATTAGCAGCCTTACATGGTCAGATCCACATAATTGTGTGACCTGAATTGTCCAGTGTTTGGTTCTCTTTAAGAAAAAAAGGGCCTTGGACAATAATGATGTGCTGCATAGGTTGTACCTGGCTACCAAAACATGTGCTGTCACGCTGTTGTCGATGCTCTACCGTGATCGGGGACCAAAACATGTGCTTCCATGCAGTTGTCGGCACTCCACTGTGCTTGGGAGACCGAAACATGTGCTAATATGTGCTGCCATGCTGTTGTCAACACTCTGCCTTGTTCGAAAGATCAAAACGTGTGTTGCTACGCTGTTGTCAGTATACTGTCGTGCTTGGGAGACCGAAACATGTGTTATTTTCACGCTGTTGTTGGTACACCTCCGTGCTTAGGAGCAAAGTTTTAAAAGGCTATACTGAGGCTTGCCTCTCCTCGAGGCATATATAAAACGCATCAAGATTTCGATTTTTAGGCTATACTCCCCAAAATCTTGCGCATCACAATCTGAGGCATACACCTTAGGTACACCTTGTACCTCTTTGTGCATAAGCATATAAGAAATACGCATATGAAAAGGTTGTCCTGAGCACTTGTTAAACTTAGTCTAGTAAATGGTTTAAATATAAAAAGCAAAAAATAAGAACAAACCCCTTTTGCGACTATATTCTATAGAAAAAGTAAGTAAATGACCAATTAAGAAAAAAATACTAAGTTAATGTTCAATTGAGAATGTCAATTTCACTTTCAATGAAGGTAAGTTTCATTCTCTATAGTTGACGTCTTACGGAGAAAAGTATTTACACCTTTATATTTATTTATTTATTTATTTTTCACTATTTTAAAATATTTAATTTGTTTACTAAATATTAAAATTTAAAATTCGAAATGCTTACGCCTCGACATTTTAAGGCTTACGTCTCTCCTCATGAGAGGTCAAATTCCTCGATTTCAACATTAGCCTTTAAAAGCATTGCTCAGGAGACTGAAACACGTGTTGCTACCCCACTGTTGCCAACACTTCACCGTGGTCAAGCATAGTTGGTTTCCTGTGCTCATTGATTTTGATTTTAATGATGATAGAATCCATCTCACAAGCCAAGAGATGGTGGGTGACGTCGAGCTACCCATTTGTTCTTCCCTTGCGCTTGTTCGACTACCTATGTGTCTCAGAACATGTGATGTTGCATGCATATATTTGCCTTGGTAATTGAGTTTGTTAACCGTACATGCACTGTGATTACTTTTAACATTTCTCAAAACTACTTTGTCATCAATTTCATTGAATTTTTCTTTTCCCACAAACGACACTAAATTGTGTGGGTGTGATTCCTATACAAATGGAATTGGAGCTTCGTGACCTCCCAATCTAGCAACTATAACTTACACACTAGAGCACATTGTTAGTGCTGCCCGACTAGGTGTTTGGCCAGCGAACCTTCCCTAATGGTAAAGTCAGTGATTGGAAACATGAAAGTATATAGCAAGGAAATGCAAAGAATTAGGGTTCAATGTGTGTCCACTTCAAAGTAGATGATGTTTCCCTTTTATGGAGTCTTCTTCTTTTCCCTCCGAGAACCACATGAGGATAATTACCTCACATGCCCCCTTAGTTGGGTCATTATCATCCCTAGATAAAGGGGGACCTCCATTTTGTTACGTGGAATATTCGCGAGGCAATCCATTAGCCCATGCCATAGAAGATTCTTAGCTGATGTCATGAAGTCTATAGGGCTTCTTATGACTTGTAACTCCAGATGGTGAAGCCCTATCCAGCTCACCAAAAGACCTCAATCAATGTCCATCTCTAGACTCTGCCTGGCCCATGGTTGTCAAGTTTGCGATGTGAATCATAAGATCATACGATTTTACGATTCTAAATTGCTAAAATGATCCAAATCATTGTAAATCCAATATTATAACAAGATCACAAATAGGATTGTGTGGGATCGTAGGTATGATATTTGGGATGGTATTTTTAATATGCATCATCCTTATTGGTATTTTTTTTTTAAATTATTTATTTATTTGTAGAATGGAGAATCTTACGATTATTGATCCGATTCGTGAGATCCTTGCATTGATCCATATAAGATTCCGATTTTACCAACCATGGCTCAACCCACAACTAGCCTTGCTGGGAATGGAGCCAGGGCTTATGTGATAGCACTCCTAGGGTCCCACTAGCTCAGCCCAATCCAGCCTTGCTAGTTTAGTTTGATCCTCATCAGTAAGCTATATATGGAAGGAAAGTTTATCATGTTCGTATGAACTATTGTCATTGACTTAATATGGGCCACATTGTATCTGATAAACCTATCTAGTTTTTACCAAAGTGATGAGTATGAATATAGTTAGTTATTGATATGTCTTCATAGTTGCTCATCGCTTTGTTCTTCATTGTTTTGTCTCACTATGATTTATTCATCAATTTGTCATTGCTTTTGTCAGGTAAAAGTTCAAACTTGGGTTGATGGCATAGAGAACCGTGAATTTGTTGGCGTCGGTGCTCGATTTGGTATTGCCATTGTGTCAAAGGAAAAAAATGCCAACCAAACTCGCCTTTTGCAATCAAACCCTCGTGATTGTTGTAGTCAGCCAAATATCAAGGTTTTGCTTTTCCCCCTTGCATTTTCATTTTTAACATTTGTGTTATACAATGGGGATTTATGGCGTGTTTAATCAATGGCAATTAATTCATAATTTTGAATTTTATTAGTTTGCTGGAGATGTCATCATGGCGGACCGAGGTAATTGCAAATTCACAACCAAGGCAAATATTGCAGAAGCTGCTGGTGCTTCAGCAGTCCTCATTATTAATAACCAGAAAGGTAATTAGTAATTCCATATGTGTAGTCTTTTATTCGCTGCTTGTGTCAATTAATAACAGTAGCTCCGAGAAACTTCAGTAGTTGATGTTATTCTTACCTATATAATTATTTTTCTTGTTTTTGAATCCCATTTCTGACTGACATGAATAAAGGACCTGAATTACAATATGAAACATTTAAAATAAGTTGCTAACTAGTGTTTTGCATATAAAACTCTGAAATAGAAGGAAACATAGAGATTGATTACATTGATAAAGTTGAGGTTCTCCCCTATTATCTCTATTTTATCAAATTTGTTTCTTTTACCTGCAGAGCTTTACAAGATGGTTTGTGAACCCGACGAAACTGATTTAAATATACACATACCTGCTGTCATACTCCCACAAGATGCTGGCACAAGCTTAGAGAAAATGCTGATGAACAGTTCATCAGGTAATTTTCCATATTATCCATAGTCTGAAGCAAAACCTGAAATTCCTTGTCAAAGACTAATTTCATTTTTGCTGCAATAAGTATTATTGTTTAATTTGCTTCTGTTGGAACTGTATGTGAGGGTTCGAAAATGTCGCCGGAAAATTCGAAGGCTCGTCGGAAATTCGAAGATCGCCGGAAAATTTGAATTTTTTAGAAACGATGAGAGACTTAGATTCTTCGACGGTCACAGCTAGAAACACAATAGCAAAGAGATGATGGAGATAAAAAATTGGGTGAAAAAAAAGGCAAAGTGATTGGAGAGAGAATAATGACAAGGCTCACCCATGGATCTCTCACTTTCACTCTCAATGGATAATAGAGAGGGGAAATTAGTTTTCTCTCAAAAGTTGTCTCTCCAAAATTTAATCCCTCGTAAAGCTATGAGTGAGTGCTATTTATAGGCACCTCATGATATAGGATGGAGCCCATGTGCAAGGCACATGGAGAATATTATTTCTAACCACGTTGTCCAAGGAGGTGATCTCTCCGAGGATGAGAAAAATCCCGAAGAGGAGATCAATGTCTTAGCGAACCTTTCTTCTTAGCCACACTTAACCAATGATCAGGTAGTTCAAGAGAACGCCTTGCCGCGAATATTGCCTAGTCTCCGGGACCCCTAGATCGTGCCACCTAGACTCAGGTATAGGCTGGTTTAACCAAAGAGTGAATTTATTTTCACTCACCGTCCTCGGAATCGGGTCCTTTGTTCGAATTTCGCCATGCCCATGGTTCTGGCGTCGATCCCGAAAGACTTCGAGCCCACAAGTGTTCTGGAACTCATTAACGGAGCGGCTTCTAAATTGCGATCAAATCTGTTCGAAACCAAATGCTTCGGATCTCTAGGTTTGTGGATATAAACCCTTTCGAGTCCGAGCTCAAATAGGTCTTTAGGTTCACGGTTCCAAACCCTTTTAATACTAAACAAATACCTCGGAGAATGGATCTCCTCCGAGGGTTTCATCTCTTCTGAAAGCAATGGCTAACCTCCCCGGATGTCTGTATGATCTGGGTCTCCTCAGATGGGTTTGTTGGGCTCCCTTAAAAGATATTTGCTTGATGCGTCCTCCTCTGCCCAATTTGTTGACTTTTTTGTGAGCCCATTCAATAGAATTCACTTGGGCCCATTTGGCAAGAATTTCTCCAAACTTACCAATTTTTGGACTTTTCGATTGGGCCCAATTCATTTAGCAGGCTCAAGTTAACTCCTCTTACAGGAACAAATGGATTTTACTCGCGCTTCAAATTATTTACAACATGTTGGATCATGGCTACAAGGATGTATATACACTTTTTTATAAGTAAAGGGTATTTTATAAAAGAATTACCAAGGGAGTGCAACCCGTTTACAAAATATGAACAGGTACCTATATCCCTATATCATTTGTACATTAAAATCGTACTAAAAGCCTTAACAAAAACCAAAGATTGGTTCGATGGATCATATGTAGAGGCCATTTGGCAACTTCCAAAAAAAGCCACCTTTTGACCAAAAAAGTCAAAAAAGCCATTAAGCTCCTTTGGCATCAGCTAAAAAAGTTGGATACCACATTGACTTTTTCACTCACAGAAAACAGCTTTTTTAGCATCTTCCCAAACACATTAAAAAAGCCACAAAAAAAGTGCACCCCAAAAACCACTTAGAGACAATGCAACATGACCTGGGTTGCCTGAAATCTAATTTTGTGATTGTTAATTGTTGTGAGTGCTAAATTTTTATTTAGGAATAACTACCACCAATTTACCATCACCTACCACCACCTACTCCTCACCTACTACACTCACCCTCTCCTATATAATGAGCCACTCACCATTTGTAAAAGATATCAAGATATGTCAATCAATAATACATATATTTTTTACAATAAACAAAGAAGATATATATCGTTTATAATAAAGAGTTTCCTCTGTTACAACTGGATGCAAGATAGCTTTCTAAAGTTTTGACCCTTCTCTACAGTGTCTGTGCAGCTCTACTCTCCACTACGACCACTAGTTGACATAGCCGAAGTTTTCTTATGGCTTATGGCAGTTGGTACCATCTTGTGTGCATCTTATTGGTCTGCATGGAGTGCAAGAGAAGCAGCTATTGAACAGGACAACCTATTAAAAGTCATCTTTTCCCTTTCTTATTTAGTTAATAATTTTCTTTAAAGTGTCTCTCTTTTACAGCCTTTGTATGTTCACTGATGTATCAAGTTATTTCATTCTTGTAGGATGCTTCAGATGAATTTCCCATCACCAAAGACATTGGTCCTAGTGGTGTGGTGGATGTTAGCACAACATCAGCAGTCTTGTTTGTTGTTGTTGCTTCATGCTTCTTGATTGTAGTTTACAAACTAATGTCCTCCTGGTTCATTGAACTTTTGGTGATTCTATTTGCCGTTGGTGGTGTAGAGGTGTGTGAGGAGTCCCTTTCCATTCTTATTTATGATCCATGCGTGTTTCACTACATGGATTACCTTGCACATCTGTTTCAAAACCTAATAGTTAGCAATTAATATTTGAAAATTTGAACATACTGAAAGCCGGCTGGTTTGTTGTACTTGCAGGGCTTGCTAACATGCTTGGTGTCCTTGCTATCGAGGTACAATAACTCTTATCTTCCTGACACGTTTGCCTTTCAGCATTCTATAAAGGTCTGCATTCATTGTTGTGCAACAAATATGATGACCTTTTGGTTGGAATCTGTGTTTTATTCATGACGCTATGCTTATTTTGTGATGTGCAGTATGTTACCAAAAGAATCTGGGAAAACTTTTAGAATTTGTCGTTAGTCATTAGCTGTATGTAGCTGCAAATCCTGTGGGATTTGGTTAAAATTTGATGGTGCTGTAGAACATGAATATGATTATTGGCAAACTTAGAGGAAAATTTGGGAATTTGGGAATTTGGAAATTGGATTTTGTTTGTGTATGTTCGCTTGAAAATTACTGTGATTTTCACGACAGGTTGAGTGGAATAATAAAGCGGGCAGACAGAACGCATGCTTGTATGATGAAAATGATAATAAATCACATTTCAGTCATTATATTCGTGAACAATGTGATGGTAATATAGTTATGATGGTAATATAGTTATGAGATTTTAGATATTCCTTTTAATGTTTAGGGACTAAGTGGACAAATACTTTTTCAGATGGTTCAAACCTACTGCGGAATCATTCGTTAAAGTACCTTTCTTTGGAGCTGTCTCATACCTTACTTTGATTGTTTCTCCATTCTGCATAGCGTTCGCTGCTGTTTGGGCACGTTACAGAGATCTCTCCTTTGCCTGGATAGGTCAAGATATACTTGTAAGGATAAACTTTATTCTGTGCTTTTTGCTTTTGATGATTATTCTTACAATTGTAATATTTTGTCTATATAACTGTGATGTGCCCTACGTTTAGCCCTCATATGAGGCAAAACTGTGGTGATAGTTTAATTATCAGCAGAATGGTTGTTGCGATGTCTTCTATTTCTGGCAAAGAATATGGTGGCTTCCTTGTCATTTTCCATGGTTTGGGAATTTGCACTGTTGATTATTTCCTAATTAATCATTTTGTTCATGCTCTAAATTTAGCATAGCCTTTTCTTCTTGGGCTTCACATGCTATTTTTTGCTGCATTATCACATTAAATAAGAGATAGTTTTATTCTGTTTAGTGTTGGCATTTCTCTTCATGTTGCTGTACATATCTGAGACATTCACACCACACTTGTTTCTGACTTTTTCTAAGTTCTGGTGGCATTCAAATAATGATGTTTTTTTTTTAATCTCTTTTTCAATCAGGGAATTGCACTGATAATTACAGTTCTTCAGATTGTGCGTGTGCCTAATCTCAAGGTAATGATTCTAAGTCACATAGGTTCATTGGTGGTAAATGACTATTTTAAGCATGCTCACACCATTTATTGGATTCTTTGGTTGCTATTGTGCAATGACAATAGACATGTACATATATATATATATATGTGTGTGTGTGTGTGTGTGTGTGTGAGTTAGGCCTTTCTATAAAGTTGTTCATGCAAAATTATTTAAGAAATTGGAAATCCCTGATAGATGTCATTAAAAAAATTATAGAATTATGCTTAGAGTTTTAGGTACTACCTTAAGTTTTTGCCTCTTTGAATGGTGCCACGGATGATTGTTTGTGAAAAAAACTGGTTAAAATTTCATCTAAAAAATGAACTCAATTGGTCATGCTGGAACTGCATATGAACATGCTTGGCTAGGTCAATAGACTGGCTTGGTTATTTATGAGAAAACTCAATTTTTGGGCTGAAGCTGGATTCACTTTTCTCTAGTACAAGGAACACTATATTCCTAGTTTATTAGATAATGATATTTCATTGGTGGAAGCAAAAAAAAAAAAAAATCTCTTAGACTTTGGATGTAAAAGTTTTGAACAAAAAGCATGCCTTTTTATTAGGTTTTTTTTTTTTTTTTTTTTTTTGACATGAGTCTGTGATTTTGTGAATCAGGTGGGTACTGTTCTCCTCGGTTGTGCCTTCTTGTATGACATATTTTGGGTGTTCATTTCTAAGGAGCTGTTCCATGAAAGTGTCATGATTGTGGTAAGTAATCCTCCCAACATTGCCACTGTCCTGGAGCATGATTAATTGGTACAGAATAATTGTGTTCTGACTGCTAGGTAGGGAGTAATTTGGATGTTTTTTTTAAATTTTTATTTTATAGGTGGCTCGTGGTGATAAAAGTGGAGAGGATGGAATTCCAATGCTACTGAAGATCCCACGAATGTTTGATCCTTGGGGTGGTTACAGCATCATAGGCTTTGGTGACATCCTTTTACCAGGATTGCTAATTGCATTTTCACTTAGGTTTGATTTCTGCGGCCCTGTCTCATTTGAAAGATCTCAGTATGCATTCTCATCCATTTGAAAAAAGAAAGTAGAATAAAATCTTTGTTCCTTATTTGTTCTCGAAATTCTTCAATTGATAGACTTCTTTTTTTTTTTTCCTTCCAAATTTCACTGATTTTTCCCCCCTCTCTGATCTTGAAACATTTCAAAACTGGAGTAATTAAACATTTCTTTTTCTCTGGTTGAACTGCTCTAAAAGTTCCAATAACAAACAAACAGTTGATTGCAACTTCCTCAAGTTTTTAAACAAGTGGGGAAACAATTACTCATGTTTTTCCAGCTAATGAGTACTTAATTAATTGAAATGACATGAGTTGGTGCTGCAGGTATGATTGGCTGGCGAAGAAGAGTCTTCGATCTGGATACTTTTTGTGGGCAATGTTTGCTTATGGATTTGGTAAGAAATAATATAGAAATCATTTTTAAGTTTGCGACTAGGATATCAAGAAATCTATAATTCAATGTAGAAAGAACATTACAATACTTCCTGTGGTAATTTTGTAGGCTGCAATACTCAAGATTTAATATGTATCTGAATATATATGCAGGTCTTCTTATTACCTATGTGGCACTGAATCTGATGGATGGTCATGGCCAACCGGCATTGCTATATATCGTCCCATTCACACTCGGTAATTTTCAACACAAGAAGCAGAGAGAGAGACACATTGTTGGATGCAAAACGGCTTTATGTTAATTATTTTTGTTTTACGTGTTGATGCAGGGACTATGTTGACATTGGGGAGGAAGAGAGGTGATCTGAAGAATCTGTGGACGATAGGGGAACCGGAAAGGGTTTGCTCTCATGTCCAACTCCTACCCACTGAAGAATCTAACTAAGAGAACGGGTGTAACACTCTTCATTTTGTGATTGTATAATAGCATGTGTAGTATGTTGTAGATCATCAATGTTCTGGTAAAGACTCGACCTAGCTATTGATTTGTAGGGTGAATGATGAATCATCAATGACCATGCTAGTGTTTCATAGTTTGATCCCTGCTAACATTCTCATTTTGTATGTGAGTTTGACTTGTAAAACGAATCTAAGTTATTCAATTTCAATTTCTCTATACAATCTTTTTATTTCTTCTTGTATATCACGTTTGCATCTACTCTTTGTTTCTTGAGCCTCTTTTGAAAAGGTCAAATCTTTGAGGATGGATTCGTTAAAAACTTGTTTGGGATAACTTGTTATGTATAAGTTTGAACGCATTTTGAAGGTTGTTAATTTTCTTTAACACGGCTCATTGAGTGTATTAAAATTGAATAACTTACTGATTGGCTTGTTTATTGCTAAAAGCATGAAATTATCTAAAGGGTAAATTATTTATAAGTTTTATTTGGATGACTTATACAAGATACGGTCTTATGAAAAAATTTATAATCCAATAGGTCCAATGGTTTTTTTGTAGACACATCTAATCCCAATCTTAATTAATTAATAACCTGATTAATAATAATACCATATATGAGAAATTCAATATTATCATAGATTGTGATCATATCAATATGGTTAGAAATTTAAAATTCAAAATAGGGGGATTTGGTGATAGCTTCCTCACTATCTAATTTGTCTTTCAAAATGACAAGAATTATATAAGTACTTTCAAAACCCTATAATATTTTAAAACTTTTTCTTTTACTATATTATCCTCATATCTATCAACTCTCCTATTAAGTCATCTTCACTGTGTATTTCAGAGTAAAATTTTACTCTGTATAAAAGTAAAATATTACACTCTGAAACTAAAGTAAAATTTTACTCTGTATAAAAGTAAAAGTTTACTCTGAATAAGAGTAAAATTTTACACTCTAAAACTAAAAGTAAAATTTTATTCTGTATAAAAGTAAAACTATACTCTGAAAAACACGTAAACTGTGAGACTCTGAAGCTAAAAGTAAAATTTTACTCTGTATAAAATTTTACTCTGTATAAAAGTAAAATTTTACACTCTGAAACTAAAAGTAAAATTTTACAGGCATGATTCAATGTTTTTCAAAGTAAACATCGATTGATTCAAGGATTATAGGCCTGATTCAAAGCTCAAAGCTCAAAGTTCCATCGATTTTTCAGAGTAAACATCAAATTTCATTTGATAGAACCAGAGTAAAATTTTACTCTGGTTCTATCAAATGAAATTTGATGTTTACTCTGAAAAATCGATGGAACTTTGAGCTTTGAGCTTTGAATCAGGCCTATAATCCTTGAATCAATCGATGTTTACATTGAAAAACACTGAATCATGCCTATAATCCTTGAATCAGGCTATAATCTGAAAATTTTAGAGAAATCTCAATTTTTCATACCCCGGTTATTCAGATTTTTCAGATTTTTAAAACTTTGAGCTTTCAAAAATCTATATATTCGAATTCAAATCTCAAAACACACAAACACACACACGCACACACATATATATATATATTACAGATCGGAATATGTAGATATATATATATTCGAATTTAAATCTCAAAACACATATATTCGAATTCAAATCTCAAAACACACAAACACACACATATATATAGATATATATATATATCTATATATCTCGGGAGATTAGAGATCGGAATCGTTCATGGTGCACAGATTTGAGTTGAAACCCTATATCGAAAGAGGGAAGAGAAGCTTGCGGAGGCTCTGGAGGATGATGAAGTCATGGAGAGGTAACGGTCGAGGACGGAGTCGATGGAGGGGTTGCCGAAAGCGAAGGTGTTGCCGGCGTTGGAGAAGGTAATGACGGCGACTTCGGTGCCGCACAAGTTGCAGAGCTCGCCGGTCTTCTTGAAGAGGCCATCTGTGGAAAGGAAGAGAGTGGGGAAGAGAGTGGGTATAATAGTCATATAAAATATTTAAATAATAAATTTGTCCTTTATGCAAGACTTTATAATTATGAGGGGGTTTAGAAAGTATAATTTTTTTCTTAGTCCTTTTAACAATGAAAGGAAGGTAAAGGGGATTTATAGCCAAATTTCCCTTCAAAATAACTTAATTAATGGCAATACCATATATAGGAAATTTAATGTTACCATAAATTGTGATCATATTTATATGGTTAGAAATTTAAAATTCAAAATAACTTAATTAACGGCAATATTATATATAGAAAATCCAATGTTATCATAGATTGTAATCATATCTATATGGTTTAAAATTTGAAATTCAAAACATAAATGTAACATGTGACATTCTTAAACCCAACGTGACATTCTCATGTGCTTATGAAGTTCAAAATAACTTGATTAATGACAATGCCATATATAGAAAATCTAATGTTACCATAGATTGTGATCATAGTTATATGGTTTAAAATTTGAAATTCAAAACATAAATGTAACATGTAACATCTCAAATCCAACGTGACATTCTCATATGCTTCTCATCCCAAATCTAATGTAAATATAACATGTAACATCTCAAATCCACTGTAACATTCTCTTATGTTTCTCATCCCAAAACCCAACGTGACATTCCAATACTCTACCATTGAATTATGAATAATGTAACATGTAACATCCCAACCCAACCCATGTATTGAACCATCAGTACCCCCAACCCAACGTAACTTTAACATTGAGCGATGGGATTCAATCCGCATTCAATTACAAACCCAAATCCCCAATAATTTTGTGCAACATATTGTGACATATATGTAAACACTGATTACAAAAAAGATACGAAACACATTCAAACACATACACAACCGAACAAACATACAAACGTTACACACTAAATGTAACATGCATCGTAACACAATCATTCATTTCCCAATGTACAATTGTCATCCTACGACGTGGTTCACATTCGACATTCAATTAATAATCAAAACCAAATATTCCCCACCCAACCCTTGAACCCATATACATCACCCTGCACATTTAACATATCAAAACACACCAACCATCACAATGTCAAATACACACATTTAATCAGAACATTAGCCAAAGTGTGCCTATCAATGAGTATAATAGATTGTCAATGTCCTATTAAAGATGAACAATCCACACTTCAACAAACAACAACACACTCAACAACAACAGCAACAATAAAAATAAATAAAAATAAAAAATAAAAAAAAAAACCTATTTCCCTCAATCGATTGGAGTCAAAATCTGTCGAAGAAATCAACACACAACCCTCAAATTTCATCATATCATCGACCATATCCACATCCATTTAAGCAATATTTTGAAAATATACTAAAATCCCGCGATCAAAGCGGAAAAAAAACTCGCATAGTCATTACCTGTAGACTTATCTTTCTTAAAAGCCTTCCTAAATATAATATAATGATGAATAAGAAAATAAGGTACAATATAAAAATAAATTAGGAGTATAATAATATACTAATATCATTCATTTACAATTCATAAAACCTTATAAAATATATTCCCATTTAAATAAGATTTCAAATTCTAAAAAAAATATTTATAAGATTTCCTATTAAATAAGTTTTATAAATAATTCTCCCTCATCTAAATGTTATTTCTTGTACCGATCATGATAAGGCCTCACATGGGTGTTATTTTCTCTGCATTATTGAAGATAAAGCACTTTTTTTGAATTTATATATTAAAATTGAAAAAGAGTCAATTTTGGGGAAAAAATTATTGCACATGAATAGGGTATGGTACATATTTTTATGACAATTAGGTTGCCCTATTCTTTTTTCATTTGATAGGGATGGCATAAAATCTTGCACATGAAATTGTATCCTTGTGTAGATCAGGATATAGCTTTGCAACCAAACAACATTAAATGATGCATCTGCAGCCAAACAGGCCTATGGGAGACATTAATTTTTTTATTTTATTTTATTTTATTTTTTAAATTCAAGCATAATTCAATAATTGTAACTTTTGAATTTAGTAATCGTCAGCCTGGAATTAAAAATTTGAAACCTAGAGATTATTTTAAGCCATTCCACCGACTAAAAGCTACTACTCACTTGAGGTGGACCACTAATATTATATGATTATGTTAATGAAAGTTTGGATAAATTACAAATATACATCTTGAAATTTGTTTAAAGTACATATTATTCTCTATGAATTAAAAAATTACAAAAATTTCTTTGTCAGAATTTTTTATTTAACAAAATTAACTAAAAAAATAAAATTCATAATTACTCTCTTATATAATAATAAAATTACTTAAATTATTAATTGAAACACACTTCTAACATCGTTAAAAAATATTAATTGTCTTGATAATTTATTAATAAAATAGATGATTTGTTATGAAAGTAGAAACCCCAAAGGGTGGAATATAATTTTCAGAACGATAAGGAACTTTCGTATTTTAATTAAACCTCAGAAAATGTATTTATAATTTACCCTAAAATTTATAATGGTTATCAATAAGAAATGTAAAATTCAAATTATTTGTGATTTTGTTATACTCTTCATATATTTTAAAATACTTTCATACATTTCAATATAATTTTTACACATCTTTTAAACACTAATAATAGTTCCTAAGACTATTTTTAACATTTGTCATATATATATATGCGCGTGTTTTAATGTCATAAAATTATAATAAATGATAGATGAATTTAATTTTTTTTAAATATTTTATTATTAGTATTATTATTATTTTGGTGCCACTTTTTAAAAGACACTATCCTAATCTAAGGATAAATAAAAAAGGAATCGCCTCCAACATTTCACATGGGGTTCGAATTTATAACCTCTAACGGGAGTAGCATACCATTCTAACATCATGAAACGTTGCATTAGTTTTTTTTTTTTTTTTTTTTTTCAACATGAAAAAACATTTATATTAAAAACAACAATATCCGGAATAAGATTCCAAATGGCCATACAAACTATACAACAAAAAAATAAAAAATATGTCAAAAAATCAGTTACGACCAAGAAAGACCATTGATCTTTTCAAATATGTGATTTTGAAAGTAAGAACTGCCTGAAAGCCTACCGCCTCCATCAACGTCATCCTTGTCGACGCTACCCAACTTTGTCACCATCGTCGTCGTACTTCAGACACAGCCAAAAGCTAGAGATGAGGAGGAGGAGGTACACCCACAATAATATAGGAGAAGACTTGAAAAAAGAGAAAACCATTGTAGATATAG